AAGTACAAAGACCATACATTCGGTAAGGATTCACTGAGCCCTGATGTACACCCGAGACCAGTCTCGGTGTTCACGATACAGCAATGATCCCATCGGACAAGAGCCCTGCTCTGCACTCATTTTAGTGGCTCTATGGGATTAGATGGGTCCTGGTGCTCCAGGGGTTACGCACTCAGCTGCTAACCTCAACACCAGCAGTCCTGACTGAAACAGCAACTGCTCCAAAGGAGAACGACACAGCAGTCTGCCTCCATATGGACAGCACGCACGCAGACGAGACATGCGGAGACCCCATGAGGTGGCTCCCCTGTGTCCAACAAGGTTGCTGTGAGTGGGAGTCCACTTGACAGCGCTGGGCTTGAGGACCCTTTTATCATAGGGCAAGGGCATCCAGGCCGTGTAGGACATTAAGTGTTCTGCTGAAAACTTAAAGATCAGTGGTTCAAACCTACCAGCTGCTTTTCGAGTGGGAAGATGTGGCGGGACGTGTCCAGACAGCCCTGAAGCTGACCAGGAAACCCTGCTCTGCTCTGTCCCAAGAGTTCTCTGTGGGACAGAACTGAGTCAAAGGCCACGGGTGTCTTAAGGTAAATTTCCAAATCAGTGGCATGTCCCATGGCAGTTAGTGCCACAAAGAAAAGTCCAGCAGGGAGAGGGGAGCAAGGGAGAGCCGTGTTGACACCAGTTTCCCTCTCCCTCCACTGAAGGTCTCTCGCCCCTCTCCCAGCCGCAGCAGGGCACCTGTGTCGGCATCTGCAGTGTGGCATTTCCATGGAGGCCTCCGAAGCTCCAAGAGCAATATTGGCTTTGAAGCAGGTCCCAGCGGGAACCCCCAGGCCAGGGTTGCGATTAGACACTCCTTCGTTTCCCCTGTGGGACAGGGGCAAGTAACATGGCCTCAATGGGCCTTTCTTCATGATGGATGGCCAAGCAGGCCTGCTCTGGCCTGGCCTGAGTCCTGAGCCATCCCCCATCCTCCTCTCTCCCAAGCAGAGGGGGGAAGTTTACAAACACCAAGAGGCCTTTGATCGGCACCAAACCCCCAGTGATCTCACTGTTTTTTGTTCCAAACCGCGGGCCAGGACCACGTCCTGTTCTGCTTCCAGCAGGGAAGGCTGTGGGAAGGTAGAAGAGAGAGAGAGAGAGAGAGAGAGAGAGAGAGAGAGAGAGAGAGTGTGTGTGTGTGTTGGTGGTGGTAGTGGTGGTAGGAGGAGGAAGCTCATGTGGATCCTTGACTTTTTTCCCCAATAAGCAGTCTGGACTCATAAGTCTCCAATTCAATTCAATAAATGTTTATGGAGCATCTATTATATCCCAGGCACCACTGCAGAAGCTGGGCCCCGAGGACCACATGCTGGAGGGGAGACACACAGGGAGGACATGAACAAATGAAGATGCGGGCCAGTGGTTGGCAGCACTGGGGAGATGTGCAAAGCTAGGAAGATAGCTTAGAGGGCGTTGGGGCGTCAGCCTTTTAAACTGGGTGTCCACGGGACATTCAGATAAAGTGGCATGTGGGCAGAGATGAGAAGGACATAAAGGTGGCAGCCACAGGAAGCTCTGCAAAGGGATCAGCAAGTGAAGGGGCCCCGAGGTGAGGTGGGGGCCCTGAGGTGAGGTGGGGGCAGAGTCGTAGCTACAGAAAATAGTATGTGCAGGGCAGGTCCTAAACTTGGGCTCCTATCCAAACACCTGATACCCACCTTTTAAGTCCTCTTATGATAACATTAACTCAAAAATATAAGCCAAGGAATAATTAACAATTTAAGCTAAAAAAGGGGCAGCCTTTACCCCTGGACGAAGCCCAGAGGGTAGGAACGGAGGAGGCACAGAAACAGGAAAAACCCAGAGAAATGCGAATGAGAGCCCAGGGCACTGCATTGGCTGAGTGGAAACAAAGCACGGCGCAGTGGGGAATGGAAAACGGATGATCTGCCCTGCGTCCCTTCACCTGATTCTCAATAAATAGTAAAAATCAGAAACCAAGCTCCTACAAAAACAAAAACGACTAGAACAAGCTCGTAAGCATTGTACTGAACGCCGTGCCGGCTCTGCGTGCCCAATAGCGCGGGCACCTCCCTCGCGTGGTGGGCTCGCGGTCAGTGCCTTCTCTCTGGCCCGGAATGGGGACCCCGAGCTGGAGGCAGGAGTTGGGGACACGGCTCGGTGGCGCCCCTGCAGGTCGCTGGAGCGAAGAGCAGTGGGGAGGCGGGGCTGCGATCGGAAGGGGCAGAGAACAGAGGGGCGCAGGCCCGCGGAAGAGGGAAGGGTGTTGGGGCGGCAGGCTGTTCTGAGAGCAGGCGTCCAAGGTGTGAATTGGGATTTGAGCCCGATTCTTCCGGCAGTTGTGGGGAGGGGAGGACCGCCCATCCATCCGGTAGAGGAAGCACACATAGGGTGGGGTGGACTCCCTCCGGCTGGGGGGCAGGCAGGGGGACTGCTGCTGCAGTGGCTCAGGCAAAAAAAAAATCACAGTCCCCCCAAAGGGCAAGTATGCGAGGTTGGTGTCGGGGTCGATCCTGATCAACGCATCCATCCATCCATGTATTGAAGTCTCCGGCATACGAGCGCATGTGCGGCTGTCAAGGTCTACAAACCAGACTCGCTCGTGTGCACAGCGCCCCGCTCCAGAACGCGAACTTGGCCCTCTCCCCCAGACGCCCCCAGTCTTCCCAGGTCGCTAGCCCTCCCCCGAGGTAGCCTCTCTCCTGACCACATCTGAAAATGAGGCGGGCGGGATTTGTTCATGGGTTGGCTAGGGATGTGGGGCCGAGAGAGGGGGCTCAGGCTAGCGAGGGGCCAAGGGTCCCCAGTCTCAGCCCATCGCTTTTCGGGGTCCAACGCAGAACTGCGTGTAGCCAAGGCAGAGCGGAGGGGGAGGGCAGGTGGAGGAGGCATGAGCCAGGAAGGATTCTGCTCGGCTGGGTGCGGATAGAATAAGCTGGAGGGTGGAGGAGGCAGTGGGAGGAAAAGAACACGCTGGAAAGGAAGGAGCGGGAAAGAACAGAAGAGAGGAGGGAGAGCCACAAGGGAAGCAGCGCCCTCCTCCTGGCACTTCGCAGAGGGAGCAACTTGCGACCTCTGGTGGTCGAGGAGAGCCACTTCTCCTGGCTCTGGTCCTGTCTGTAGGGTGCCATGAATTCAGGGCACCCCAAAGACTCCTAGTCCCAGCAGGGACAGAGCTACCCAGACAGGTGAGGCACCTTCCAGGGGGGCATCACATTTCAGGGGACACCTAACATTTCAGTAATCCAGATTGTCACACAATGTTTTGGAAAAACCAATGGGCAAACTATGGCTGTTGGGCCAGCTGTTGTTGTCAATAAAGTTTTATTGGAACTGGGGCCAGGTATCAGGGTTTGCTTGGTTGTATCTCAGAAATCAAACCTACACACCTTCACAAATGCGAGTGGTGTCTCCCATGGAGTCGGCACTGGCGGTGCCCTGTTGATGCACCTGCCTGCTACCTGACGTGGGAGGTTCCAGTCTACCCAGAGGGACTCCGGAGAAAAGCTGAAGATCGACTTCAGAAAAAGCTGCCTCAGAGAAGCCATAGGTCACACAACTGGTTCTGCCAGAGGTGCTCCCCACCCTCTCCCAGAAACACCCCCCACCCCTGGTCCCACCAGGCCAGCATGTGGGGTGAACATGGTCACCTATATAACCAGCACCTGGCATCTGTGTTGGCCACCTCTCAAGTGTCACATCTCATTGCCCTGGCTCTGTTGTGTAGCTTTGGCCAAGATCTCAGTGCCTCAGTTGTCTCCTCTGTAACTGCTCACTGAAACGCTACTACTCTGCACGTGGCGTTCCACATTTCCCCTGTCCAGTGAGGGCGTGGTGGCTACACCAAGTTGCTGTTGTGGGCCCATCCCTGCTATGCACTGACTGCAAGCCAGGAAGGAATGCAGTTGCCTAGGAATGTTTGGGAACCCCAAGATCCTACCACAGGCCCACGGCCAAGTACACAGATGCTCCTGGGAGCACTGCATTCCTCCAGTCCCTTGCCCTCCCTGAATGCTTGAAAGAGAAGAGCCTAGCTCAGCGGTTCTCAACCTGTGGGTTGCGACCCATGGGGGGGGGTGTCAAATGACCCTTTCACAGGGGTCACCCTATTCATAACAGTAGCAAAATGACAGTGATGAAGTAGCAACGAAGATAACTTTATGGTTGGGGAGTCACCACGAGGAACTGCATGAAAGGGTGACGGCATCAGGAAGGCTGAGAACCACCGTCCTAGCTGCTTCCGTGACGTTACTTCTGCCCAGGCCGGTGTTCCCCACTGCCCTCAGGGTTGTGACATGCTCCCACTGCCTCCCTGCCAGGCCAACAGCACCCCTCCATCGGCCCACTGGGAAAGCCTCCTCCCTGGTTCTTGCTTCTGCTCTTGTCCTACCAGCAACGTGTGCTCCTTTCAAAACATGACTCAGCTGTCACCCCACTTAAAGCCCTTTGTGTCCCAAGGCAAATGAAACCCCAGTTTGTCAGCAGGCCTTCTGCGATGGAGCCCTCGCCGATGAACCCCCTCCCTGCGGGCTGCCTCAACGACCCTGCTGTCTGTCTGTCCCTCCGTGATGCTCCTCCTTCGTGACCTGCACCTCCTGGAGCACCCTCCCCCATCACCTGGCATGTCTGCCTTTCCTTACCGGCCCCATTCTCCGGCTCTGCTCACTCACTCTGACCTGGCTATTCAGGATCACATCCCTGCCCACAGCACTTGCCGTCCATCTGTCTCAGCTGCTTACTCTGTGCACTTTATGGGTGCAGCAGACTGCCTGATCCTTCTTCCCCAGAGGGGCCGGGGGCTCACACCACTGGCCTATCACTCCGCGCTCAGGGACGGAACCACTGCGCCACCAGGGTGCCTACACACGCTAGATTCAAGGGCTAGCAAAGGTCTGAAGAGGAAGAATGCCCTATGTGCTTCCACGTTTCTGAGTGCCAGAGCCCATGGGCCTACGGTGTGCACGCTGCGACCGGGGCGAATGCCTCGCCTCGACTGATTTCATACTTAATTTTATTAACAACAAGGCTGACGAGTAAGCGGGTCTTGGTGTAGTCGTTACAAGCTGAGCTGCTTCGCGAGTGCGAGACTGGGCTTTCTACTCCCGCACACGGTTCCGGTCTTGGAAACCCACAGGAGGTCCTAGGAGTCAGCACTGATCGGATGGCGGTGAGTTCAGGACAGTCAACTGCGGAAAAAGACGCTTTCTCGAGCATGACCACACGCGCCACTTAGAAATCTCTCAACACCTTTATTTTGGTCTCCGCTTAGATTCACAGCAGCCTTTCAAAATGACCTTAAAAGAAGTGCCGAGCGCGGGCAGCTGTCAGCCGCTCCCTTTTATCCGATCATGGACCTCTTCCTCCCCCTCAGGCGCACTTCGTCCAGCTTCTTCAGCACGGGCTTGGCCTTTCTGGACGACGCGGAGTAGCTCTGCAGAAACGCCTCAAACACAGGCTCCGTGTTGGGATGGGTGCTGAGGAAAGCTTTCTCCAGGACATAGAGGTCTACCCCCTTATCTTCGGGAAGTGCTGAAATGAAGCTGAGCCCGAAGTCGATGAGCACAATGTTCAGCTGCTCCGGGGGGCCTTTCAGGAGCATGTTTGAGGTCGTGAGGTCACCGTGAATGAGGTCCTCATCGTGCATCCGCCCCAGCACCTGCCCCATGGCTGAGGCCAAGCGGGAGAGGCTCTGGGGTGCGTTCTCAGACCCCAGGGTGGACTGAATGTAATCTCGGACAGTCACCGAGTCTGCGATCTCTTCCATGTAGAGGCAGTTGGAGGCATAGTCCACAAAGAAGACCACGGGGGCAGATATCCCTGCAACCAAGACATAGGCCATTATTGGGTTGGGCTCATTTTCCTTTTGGAAGTGGGGAGCTGAGTTCTCAAAGATTGAGCCAATGTTCTGATGGTCAGTTCTCTGCTTATTTCAAGAAAAAGAACTGAGAAAGGGTGTGGCCTGGTACAGCTTAAGTCATCTGGAAACTTCCTCTGCAGGACTGTGCCCAAGTGTTCTCCTGCTTCCCCACACCATCCTTTACCACTGGGCTTCACTGGTGACCACCACTCCCTATCCCTATAAATACTAATGGGAGCTGATGGGGGGTGGGGGGGGACGGTCTAGTCAGTCGCTTCTGCCTGACCAGGACACTAACGGGAGACCATGCAGTATGGTGGCTGAGACAGTGTGGTGGCTTTGGTGCCAGAAAGGGCAGGGTTCAAATCCCAGCGCCCTTCCCGATCAGTTCATCCCCTCACTCATTGCCGTCAAGACCACTCTGCTCACAGCCACCTACAGTCCGGTAGCTGGGACATTCCATTCTGAACCCACCTTCGGTTTCAGCCAGAGGAGAGTGAGACGTGGTCTCACGTACTTTCGCCACGTTAGGGGGGGGCAAGCTTGGTAAGGGGGAGGGTCAGCACAAGAGGGAGACTCTCGAAGAGACGGACTGGTAGTGGCTGCAACAATGGGCTCACGCAGAGCGAGGGTGGTGAGGATGGAGCAGGACCAGAGTGCACTTTCTGTCCTGAAGTCGGATTGTTAGGGGGCAAGACTGGCAACGCCATCAGAGTCAATCAGCTTCCCTGGTGGAAACAATACCTCCAACGAGTGCTATCAGTACATGACTATCAAGTGTCAGCCAGGCTCAGGGCACTGTAGACACAGAGGCATTACCAGTGGAGCTGGATCCCGAAGTAACCAGGCTGAAAGGAGCTTACATCTGAGAGAGGATGAAAATGGAAAATATGAACACAAGTAACTTTCTTAAATCCAGAGCTGTGTCTGCTTAGTCACTACTCCATCCCACCCCCACGCCAGCACCCACCCACTTTCTGATGCACACAGCAGGTGCCTACAATCAAGAGAAAGAAAGGTAGGACGTGTGGAAGAATTCCGAAGCCTGCCTTTACAAGTCACAACCCCTCAGGAGCCTCAATTTCAGATCTGAAAACAAGACTTGTGGTGGTGGGTGCATGAACAATACCGTTTTAATGAAGGGGTGGGGGGATGATTTCATAAACCTGCGTGTGTTCTTTGTGCAAGGCGCCCTGGTGTCGGGGTGTTGTGTTGGGAGGCTAACTGCAAGGTCGGCAGCCTGACCCCACCGGCTGCTCTAATGGAGCAAGATGAGGCCTTTTGCTCCTCGAAAGATTTACAGCCTCAGAACCCACCGGGCAGCTCTCCTGTGTCCTAAGGGGTCCCTATGAGTCAGAATTGGCTCCCTGACAGCTGGTTTTTATTTTGTGCCAGGCACATGGTTAGCATATGTCATCTCATTGTCTCAACACCTCTGACATCAGTGTGTCACCATTAATTCTACTTCATACGGAGGCCCAGAGAGGTGAAAGAACTGGCTGACGGCTTGTGCTGGTCTGGGTGGACTAGAGAAACAAATTCAGACATTCATATGTGCATAAGAAAGAGCTTTATATACAAGAGCAGTTGAGTATTGAGAAAACATCCCAGCCCAGTCCAGATCAAGTCCATAATTCCAATATCAGCCCATATGTCTGATACCATCTATAAAGTCCTCTTCAGACTCAGGCAACACATGCAATGACCCCGAATGCAGGAAGATCACAGGCCAGTGGTGGTAGAAGCATCTCAGCACTGGCAGGGGTCCCCACGTGGCTCCTCCTGTTCCCAGGGCATGGGGTCTATCAGCGTAGTGCCATGTGTCTTGTCAGTAGAGTGTCTCTCAAGGAGTGAGTAGAGAGAGAGTATGTCTCCTGCCTCCAAGGAGGGAAACGACCGGAGTTCCCAGAATTCTCAGGAGAAGGCCATGCCCACACGGCACCCTTATTAACTAAGACCTGATTGACAGACTAGACTCCACCCCTTCACTCTTAATCCTCTCAACTCCCAAACTGACACCAGATGATGTCACCACCACAAGGCTGACTACAAATGAAGTAGAATTGGAATCTGAACGCAGAGAGCCTGTTTCTCACAAGTGATGAATGAGAAGAGCCTCTCGGGGCATCTTGGCCAACTGACCGGATAAACTCAGCAGGCTGATGTGCTACATCCTAGTTCGGTGAGCAGTGTCGTACAATGCAAGTCTTGGAGCAGCTACCTGAACCACACTCACTGGTCGCTACTCATCTCACCGGGAGCAAAATCGAAACAAGGAAACCAAACACGAGTCCACACCATCCGGGGCCCCACCCACCCTGAGACCAGATGAGCGAGATGGCGCCACACACTCTGATGAGGGCATAACAGATGGACCAGAACCTCAAATTCCTTTTAAAAAGCCTTACTGGACCAGTTGTGACACATTTCAGAGTACGAAGACCTCAAATCTCAAGTACAATTTTAGGAGAATATCTATTAAGCCCTAATTGGGACAAAGACAAAAACACATCCTCTGGATGAGGGAGGTCATTAGCAAGCGGTCATAATGGTATCCAAGGATTCGCTGAGGTTCCAGGGCAAAATGACCTGGGAAGGCAAAGGAGACTGTCACAGAAGCATGACTGGCAGCTGGTCAATACATCACACTTACAGGTGGGACAAAAGAAGTAGGGGTGGGACCACGATTAGGACATGCACACTGTATTACACAGAAGAGCTTGCAAGATTAGTCGAGGCAGGACTCAGGATTAGGGGACCCTAGTATGATGTTCTACATCAAGGACACACCCAGGCACGACCCTAAGGGAGACTGCCCCTCCTTGGGCTGGTCAGGGGGATGCATGTAACCCACTGTCTAATGTACTCTGCCTGAGGGCAAGACTGTTCACATCCCTGGTCAATGGTCAGAAGGAATTCAGTGGAGGCTTAATCCACATGGGGGCTCTGCAAATGGATTTGAGGCTTCACTGACATCCATAACTAACCCGCTCACTCACTGCCACAGAATACAGTTATGACCCTACAGGACAGGGCAGAAGTGTCCCGACTGGTTTCGACACTAACTCTTTATGGGAATTGTGGCAGTTACATCATCTGATGTCAATCTGAGAGGATTACAAGTGAAGGGGTGGAGTCTGACCTGTCAATCAAGATATAACCAATAAGGCTTCTGTGTGGGCATGGCCTTCTTCTGAGAACTCTTGTATTTTCCTCTTTGGAGGCTAGAGACATTTCTCTCTGCTGACTCCCTGCGAGACATCCCTGAGGAGAAGTCACATGGACCTACCCTGATGCAGTCCTGGAAGCTGGAGAAGCCACATGGAGACTCCTGCCAGCGCTGGGATGGTTACAACGCGACTGGATCCAAAGACTTTCTACCCACTGGCCCGTGATCTTCCTGCCTTTGGCGTCATTGCACGTGTTTCATGAGGCTGAAGAAGACTTTATCGATTGGTGTCAGACATATGGGCTAATATCGGATTTATGGGCTTGGACTGGACTGGGTTGGGATGCGTTCGTAATGTACATTAAACTTTTGTATAAACTCTCTCTTACACATATGTGTGCCCGTGAGTTTGTTTCTCTAGTCACCCAGACTAGCACAGGAACAGAAAGCCTCATCTTTCTCCCATGGCTTTGAACTGCTGACCCTGTGGTTCACAGCCCTGCCATCCGATGCTCAGAATTTAAGCTTTAATACAGACTGGAGGACTCCCCAATAATATTGGCCAGAAATGGTTTCTAGCCAGAAATTAAAACTAGCCTTCCAGTTCACCTCCAAGGCTAAACAACAGGCTAAGAAAACAAATCATCTGAGTATCACCAGTGAAGACTGTGCCCCTTTATAAAAAGGGGGGGAGGGGGGAATCTATTGGAGTCCTGGTGGTATAACGGTTACCAGCTGGGCTGCAATCTGAATGGTTGGCAGTTCAAAACCACCAGAAGTCCCACAGGAGAAAGACTGGGCCGTCTACTCTTACACAGTGACAGTCTTGGAAACCCACAGGGGTCGCTGTCAGTCAGCAGTGAGTTTGGTGTTTGGTACTGGAGCCCAGCTGCCAGCGGGTAGGTCAGCAGTTCTAAACCATCCGCTACCCAGAGGTCGAAACACGAACCTTCTGACTCCCAACAAGAGGCACCCGTCTGTAACGAGTGATCATCTCAGGAACCCCCAGGGGCAGGCCTACCCTGTCCTTTAGAGCCACCGTGTCTGAGTCGACTGATAGCAGGGAGTCTGAGATGAAATCCGTCGATCAGCAAGTACTGGGCAGCAAAGATAAAGAAGGAGAACGGTGCATGGACGGGCGGGCGCGTAAAGAAGGCCTTGTAAAGACCGTGTCCAGGGTTACCGAACAATTGCGTAGACGTTGTTGAATGTGGCTACCTTCCCCCATAAATGTACCTGAGAAAGCCTAACAAAAACGAATGAGAGTCAGGATCGACATTGGAGCTCAGGAGAGGTGCCGACGGGGAAAACACGGGTGGGTAGGGGGCTCATCACCAGGAGGGCACGGAGCACGAGTGCAGATCCCGGTGTGAGCCTGGAAGCACGGGGCCAGAGCCAACGCTCGCTGCCACGGGGCCACGAGGCTTCCTAAAGAGAACGGAGAGGGACGGCGAAGGGTGCGAGTGGAGAAACGGAGGCCGGCCGCAGCACCGAGCACAGGGCGGCCCTCCCCGCGGTCTCCGGGCCTCGGCGCCCAGGGACCTGCCCTACCTGCGCGGCGACAGCGGAACAGCGCCCGCGCCTCCTGCACCGTCCGCCGCCGGAGCCGCCCCTCCAGCGCCGGGTGCCGGTAGCCCTTGGGGAAGCGGTGCTTGACCACGGCCGCGCGGCCCAGAAAGGGGCCTCGGAACACGCGCGCCTCGGCGCCCTGCTTCACCAGCTCCAGGCCGCTCAGGAGCCGCTGGCTCCGCTCCCGGGCTGCGGCCTCGGGCGTCGGCTCCTCGGGCGCCGGCTCCTCGCGCGTCTCCACCGACGGACCACTGGGGGCCGCCATGTTCGTCGCGCCTCTCGCCGCCGCTCGGAGTCCCTCGGCTCTCTCCGGAAGCTGTCGGCGATCCTTCGGCTACCTCCGGAAATGCTCGGCCTCCCTCGGCTCTCTCCGGAAACTGTCGGCGATCCTTCGGCTACCTCCGGAAATGCTCGGCCTCCCTCGGCCTTCCTCGGCTCTCTCCGGAAGCTGTCGGCGAGCCTTCGGCTAGCTCCGGAAATGCTCGGCCTCCCTCGGCTCTCTCCGGAAGCTGTCGGCGATCCTTCGGCTACCTCCGGAAATGCTCGGCCTCCCTCGGCTCTCTCCGGAAGCTGTCGGCGAGCCTTCGGCTACCTCCGGAAATGCTCGGCCTTCCTCGGCTCTGCCTACCGCTCCGCCTCCGACACTTCCGGCCCGCGGAAGTGATTCCGCTCCCCAGCCCAAGAAACGTACCTATTTTTTGCTTTTGGCATCCAAAGAAGTCACACACTTTGTCCCTTGACTCTGTCTTAGAGCTTGAATTGCGAGCACCCGTTTTGCACAAAGCCATGGATGGCAGTGAAAGCCCCAGGTCTGTTGGCATGTGGGTTAGATACATGCCTCCATGGAATTTCTTCTGCCTGTGGACCAGGGACGTGAACAGTCTTAACTGCATGCAGAGTGCACTGGAAAGTGCACCTGCACCTCTCTGACCCGCCAGGGGAGGGGCAGACTCCCTTAGGGGCTTGCCTAGGCGTATCATTGATATGCACCCCTTACTGGGAACCCCTACTCCTGAGTCTCCCCTGACTAGCTTGGTCAGAAGGCCCAGGACCGATCTTGTAAGCCCTTCTGTGTAATACAGTGTGCTTGTCCCAATTATGGTCCTGTTTCCACTTTTGTCGTCACCCTCGCAAGTGTGACGTATTGGTTTTCTGTCAATCAAGTCTTGGAATCTCAGCAAACCCTTGGATATCACTAGGACCTCATGCCACCGGTCTCCCGCATCCAGATGACGTGTCTTGTCTGTCCTGTTTAAGACTTAATATTCTCCTAAAATTATTTTGAACATTTCCGGGCACCTACCCTAAAACAACTCCTGAGTTTTAGTGTTATGATAATCTATAGTTGTGTTGTATAAGGTTACCTCGAACACTGAATTGGCAGATACTGAGCCCTTGTTCCTAAGGTTCCTGTGAGCCTCTGGTCACAACACTCATCAGTCAACCAATGAATCAAGACGAACCAAACCCATTGCTGTTGTTTTAATTTGTCTCATAGTGACCCTATAGGGTAGGATAGGATAGGATTTCCCATAAGGCTTCCTAGGCTGTAAATCTTTAGGAAAGCAGATTGCTGCATCTTTCGAGAAGCAGCAGCCAAATTCTTTGACCACGTTGCCTCCGGGAATCCTAAACCAACACATAACATTGCTTTATGTGTTTCTAGGCACCTTATTTAATATATGTTATTGATTAATTAACATTAAATTGGTGGCCAATGGCACTCATGTCTGAACAAAGTTGTTGTTTTCTTTCTTTTTCTAAATAGATTTATTAGATTCTGGAGGCATAACTAACTACCTTGGGCTAAGGAGCTCTTGACACTACTATGCCTCGAAGCCATATTAACAACAAAATCAACAAAAAAGCACTGAATTGGAAAATAATAAATGAATCAGTAAAACACACACTTGTTTGCAATATGCCAGTGGAAACAACGGCAGGGTGTCGCCCTTGTTTGGCCTCAGCTGGAAATGTGTGTTTTGGACAATTCAAATGTTTCCCTTCCCCAGGCACATCCTCAAACGACTGCAAAGCACCCCAAGTATTGACTCTGGGGAGACCGGTAAGTCCCAGTGAGTGGCGGCATGCACAAACAGAATCTGCGGCCCATGAGGATCGAGTATAGTGACAGCCATCGATTGAATGTCCGAAGGAGCGGTGAGGTTAAATGATGACACGTCATTTCATGAAAAAGGACAGTGAGGTTCAGGGTGCGCACTTACTAAGGAGAGTGGGAGTGGTGAGTTTGTGGAGGAGGCCAAATCAAGAGAGAGGATCTAGGCGGTGTTGGAGTATAGAAACAAATGTTTGCTCTTGGGATCTGCTTGCTCCAGGCAAAGCTAATCCAGGAGCTTTGGATTACAATACAGAATTTTGCTCACGCTGAAAACAAAAATATCAAAGGTTGATGAGATGTCAATTGTATGGCCCTTCTAGCCTCCATTCCCTATAAGGATGTATTATAATTCTGGACTCCATGCCTGTGGTTAGCATCCCATCATAGAAGGAGTTTTCGCTATGCTAATGGATACAGTGTGAACCCAGTCACATAGGGTTTTGAAAGACAAACCTACCATTTCCATCAAAGTCATTCCTCTGGGTCTGAGAGCCATCTCAAACACAGCAAGCACAGCTGAGCCCTCTGCTGTGGTGTTGGCCAGGACCAGAGAGTGCTCATCGGTGTTTCCAGGTTGTGAAAACCTCCCCAGGTGGGCGAGTAGTAGGGTGCTGGGCTTCCAAGCAGAGAAAACAGACCCAGGCCAGGGTTAGGCTGGACAAGGGCCAGCAGCAGCACGGTGACGCTGAGGACAGGTTGGGAGCTGAAAAGGGGAGGGACACTGCCCTGGTTTCAAAGGAGTCTCTTGCTAGAAGAAAAGCCGCTGCAAAATGGGGTGACTGCCCCGGAGCATCCCCTGGAGACCTCTGCCTCTGGCTGCAGAATGGACAGCAGCCTCTGGTAGAATGGCCAAGGACTAGAGAGGGTAGGGCTTCTACTTTCAGTCCTGAGCCTTCTCTGAGTCCAAGGCTGGCCCAGGAGGAAGCCTTGCAGGGGGAAGAAATGGTGTGGAGGCCACGTCTGACCTCTGGCTGCACACCACACCAGCCTGAGGTTGATTTCCAGGAGGCAGCTCTCCTAGTCTCTTTCCTGGGAGTCCCTCCTTTCCCCATCAGACTTGTCCTCCAGGATGTTGGCCTTGATTGGATCATGGATCTTTGTCTTGGCTGCAGAGGAAGCCCGAAAAGTGAGGGTCTGGCAGTTGCGTGGGTCCCTGATGGATGGAGACATGCTCCTTACAGCAAGGAGGGAGCTGAGCGACTGGGCAGGCAGCCACAGTGCCTGGCCTTGAGTGTCATGTGACACTGACCATCATTTCAGCTGGATCGTTGTCACAATGGGGCTGATTTGGTCTAGTTTGTTGAATGCTTCCTAAGATTAAGTCAGATCTTGTTTGTGAGTGTACTTGGTGGATAGAAAACATTCTTCCTCTTTCTTTTCCTTCCCCCAGCGCCACCCCCCCCACACACATTCTTCCTGTTTCTTTTCCTTCCCCCAGCCCCACACACACACACACACACACACACACACAATTGGGGTCCCATTTGAAATACCTAAGAGAAAGACCCTCTGGTTCAAGGGTTGCTATGACACAAGGCCCTCAGTTGTGCATTCCCTGGGGCTCATTGACGCACACCCCGGGCCACCTAATGTAGTGTCCAGTACCTATCATCAGCCCACGCCACTCAAAGCTCCCACAGGACAAATGCCATGCATAATGCCCAGTGGCTTCATTATCCTAATTGTTGGTATCCCTCGGCCGTCTCTATGGTTACCAAACCCATCTGAGCTCTTGCTTTGTGAAATCCACTGTGCAAACATGTTTGTTTGCAAGTCCAAGGTTTTCCATGGTCAGACTGGTTTTGAGCTCGATGATGGAAAACCCCACTTAAAACCCTCCCAAGGCTTCCTGTTGCTCAGAAGACCCGACCCTTAATCTGACCCACGAGTCTCCGTCTGGGACCCCTGTGTTCTCTGCCAATCCACCTCATCTCCCACCACCCACCTGCATGCTTTCTGTTCCTCAGACCCAGTTGGCTTCTCTGCCTCATTCTTGCCACGCTCTCTCTGCTGCAGGGCCTTGGCATCTGCTGCTGCCTGTGCCCAAACTGCTCTCCCCTCCCTCCTCCGCCGCCTAGTTGTCCGGTGCCGCCAAGTCGGTTCTGACACACCGTGACCCTCTGCACAGCCCCGGCACCATCCTTATCCTTGTTCCTGTGCCTGAGCCCCTGGCTGCAGCCACGGTGTCCATCCATCTCCTTGGGGACCTCCCTCCTTTTCGCTGAGTTTACATGGTGTCCTTCTCCAGTTAGCATCTAGTCAGCATCCACATATCCTTCCATCTCAGATCAAAGCTCTCCCCCTCTCGGACATTCCTTTAGAAGCTCTGCGTCCCTCATTAGCCCCTTCGCTGATCCTTTTTGTGTTTGTTTGTTTCTTCTTGTGACATTCCCCTCCCCCACCACCACGTGCACAGCACAACTTCAGGTGCTACAGAATGAAACTGCTTCATAGAGTGTTCTCAGCTGTTCTCTTTACGGAAGCAGATCCTTAGACCTGCCTTCCTGGGCAGCTGGATGGGGTTGAGTGCAAACTAGGGACCTTGTGCAGAAGGGAAGGCAGGCAAAAGCAGCCATAAACAGTGATTAAATGAGCAGGTGGGGCTGCATTCCAATAAACCTCATTTACAAAAAACAGGCATCCAGCCTGTAACCTGCCAAGTCCTGCTCAGAACACACAGCCTCTGGTTTGCCGCAGTCCTCACCACTCCACATTGCCTTCTACCCAGGCCAGTTTTCTTTGTTTTAACACCTGTTAAAACAGGTCCCATTAGGTGGGTGAACTTGCAGGCCCGGATCTAAGTTCTTTTAAAGGTTAAGCTTTGAGAAAGACAATTCAGAAAATCTTAGACGCGGCCTTCTTTTTTTTATAAG